GTTGGACTCCCGGGCTCTACCACCACTAGTTGCATGACCTGACGCAAGTTTGCTTCAGTTTTGTTACGTGTAAGATAGGAATGCTCAATAGGAATTCCGTGATAATTAAATTAAGTATTGCACACAAAGTGCTTTTAACAGTGTGTAGCACAAAATAATCACTCAATAGTTACTATTACAATCTTTATTATAACCCTCATTCTTCCCAAACCTCTCTAAATAACCATAGACTCCTAATCCGTTAGGACCTTAGGCCTCAGAGGTCATTTAGTTCAATCTCCCACGTAAAGCAGTATCATTTGGTCAACCATGAAATGGTTAAATACCTGCACTGCTAGAAAGTTCACTACTTTTCAAAAAACACAGACTTTCAAACGATTCTAATAATCAGAAAGTTCTGTTATGTATGGTACCTACTCTCTACTCACTGGTCTCTTATTTCTGTCTCCTGCACAATTTCAAAACAAACCTGCATCCTCTATCCTCTTTAACACAATATTCCAGTTTCTGACAAGCTAAAAGGACAGTAGGACACTTCGTTTAGGAAGGTAAAACTAATTTCGGCAAAATTTAATCAACAACAAAAATAATAAAACTGAACTGTTTTATGAGAAATTAGGGTGATCTCTGGACTCTGAAGGATTTGGCAAACAGGTATTCACAGTTATTACCCGATCTGGTTAAGTAAGATTGTAGACACCTCTGTCAGCTGCTTTCCAAATTTATGCAGAGGTACAAGTTTGGGTGCCTTTTTTATAGGCTAGTTATTTCTCTGCAAAGTCCCCTTGGCTGCACTTTATTCTCCTCATGATTTCCTTTTCCTCCCTCTGCTTCTATTTTCTATCTCTCTCTCTCGCCTGCTCTCTCGCTCGCTCGCTCATTTCTTTCATCAATTATTCAACAAACATAGACGCACTGTGCTAGGCCTGGAAAGGTCCAAGATAATGAAATCTGGCTCAGATTACCCCCAGGCTGTGGTAGCTCAGTGGCTACGGTGCATAGGCTACTGTGAGGACTCCAGGAAGAAATGAATGACTGGCTTCTAAAGGAAGGAAACACCTGATGAAGTCGAAAGTACCTCTCAAGCTTTAAATCACCCGAGAATCTTGTTTGAAAGATCCTGAGTCACGTATCAAGCTCTCAGATGATGCCCATGCTGTGGGTCCCCGGACCATCCTTTGAACCGCGAAGGTCTTAAGGGATGACTCCTGGCTTAGTAAAGGACGGCCGGGGTGGAAAGAGGCAGAACAGACAGCGTGCAGTACGTCACCGACGTGAGGAACGCCGAGTGCCTGTGCTGAGGCTCAGGCACAGCAGCGGCCCAGGCAATCGGAGAGATCATTAGTTCCTAAACTGGCACAGACGGGAATATGCTACAATTTAAGGAAAGGAGAATTTATTTCATAGGTGATGGAACATATCAAAGTAAGCAAGGCAGTTACATGGTAACAACTGCAAATCAGATCTGGTGACTCCAGTGGTATAATCATGGGCAAGAAGATAGGATGCTAGGCTACGCAACCTGCTAACAATGATGACGAGGGCCTAACTTGTGGCAGTAATAATAGATTCGCTTAGAGGGCAATGACTTGGGAAATGTTGGAGATGAAGCAGGCTGATTGTATTTTCACTTATTAATTTAAAAATTAGGCAAGTTGTCATTTCTTTGCAAGCCTGGTGTCTATTCTTAACCTGAAATTTAGCAGCACGTTATCTTGAACAAGCCACTTAACTTCTTTTTGCATCAGTTTCCACATTTGAAAACAGTGAAGAGTTGACCCAAATAAACATTGTGGGTCTCTTTAAATGCTAAACTTTATGATCCTATGAACTAAATTCATCTCTTATTAAATCATGGAATCATAGAATGTATTCTTAAAACTTACCACAATACCCGGAATATAAATATGCATTCTATGACTAATATTTAGTCATACAGGTATTAAAACTTGAGATTTTAAAAAATCCTCCCTCTTCTTCACCCACGACATTCATTACTGAGTCCAGTTGCTTTGTACTTATGTCCTACTGGTGAGTCTTTGGTTTATGCCTTTATTCTTTTTTAACTAGATTTCTGCAATAGCACCAAAATGTTCTCTCTGGCTCCAATCTAATCACTTTCTATACACCATTCAAGAAATTGAAGAACTCTGGAGTCAGAACGACCTGGGCTTGAATGCTAAGTCCACTATTTCTTGGCTGTGTGGCTGCTGGCAAGTTATTTAACCTATTTAAACCTGCGTTTCCTTATCTATAAATCATAAAAATGATATGAAGATGAAATGGCTGCAAAGAGCTTACCACAGTGCCTATTACACAGTGAGAACTCAATAAATGTTAGTTATTATTTTGAAACACAAATCTCATAAAGACTTGAGCAGACGCTTCACAAAAAAGTCAAATGGCCAATAAAAAATGAAAAGATCTTCATTAATAATCAACAAAATGCAAATTAAAACTTCCATAAGTGCAATTATGTATCCACCTGATTAGCAAAATTTAAGAACTTATAAATCAAGTGTTGATGAGGACACAGAGCTTCTCATACATTGCTGATATAACCAATTGGGGGAAATATTTTAGTATTATTTAGAAAAACTAAATGTGTACATACCCCAAATTCAGTTCATTTCCTTGCTGTTTATCCTAGAGAAGGTCTTATACATGTGTATTAGAATCTAAGAGCAATAACTTACGTATGTATAAAGAGTATTGTGTGTGTGTATATATATATATACACATAATAATTTTATTTATTATAAATATATTTATTAAATATCAATATAACTCAGGTAATATATATATTAGTATAAGTAATATTGAAACAATCCAAATGTCCATCAACAGTAGAATGGGTAATTAAATTTAGTATATTCATGAAACAGAATATTATCTAACAATTTGCATGAATAAACTACATGCATCAACACGGAAGAAGAACTGTGCAATGTGTAGCAAAATCAGGTGATTCAGAATATATATTATATGATTACAAATGGAAAGCCAACAAAGAAAAGTAAGGGAACAAGTGTGACAATAGGCAGGGTAGTGGTTAGCGGTTACCTGTAGTGGGGAAGGAAAAGCATGTGATCTTAAAGGAGCACACAGACTCACTGGGAGTCTATAGCTTAATATGAGTGATGGTTATGTGATGTTTGCTTTATAATTATTCCTTAAACTGTACTTTTTATACACTTTTCTATGTGCATGACATATTTCACAATTAAGAAAATAAATGTGATCAGGCACCTATTTAAAATCTTTCAAAAGTTCTTCATTTTGGAATAAAACCCAAACTCCTTAGCTTTGTCTAAGAGATCCTTTATTATATATCTTCTGTATCCCTCTTCATCTCCACCACCCCCATTTATGCCCCAGCAGCGTGACACGTAGTCCCCCCAAACAGTCGTGCTCTCTCAAGCTTGTGGACCCTTGAAAAATGTCCCCACAGCTCCCCTTCCTCTGGCTAGCCTCCTATTGTCCTTAACATTCAGCCAAAGTACCACTCCCTCCAGGAAGCTCCCTTGACAAATCCCCACCTGTATTGCACTCTCCCCCTCTGCACTTCCCTTAGCACCCGATGCCGCCCACTTAACAGCACAGTATAAGCACCACGCTCTAGAATATTCCGCTCCCTTCTGATGGCACATTTAACTGTACTGCACCTTTAGACTGAAAGCTCCTTCAAAGCAGGCGCTGTCTCTTTCATCCATCCCAGAGATAAAGATGATCAGCACAGATTCTCAATAAATGTGTGCTCAGTGAACAAATGTTTAAGATGGGGCAGCATATGTTTTCTACATGACTGGGAAAGATACATAACTCAAATTATTTAGTCCAGCCATATAAAATTGCCCTTACTTTAGATTGAAAACAGTTGACTATGAGCAATTTAATACATGTTGATTAAGCACAGAATAGTTATGACTATTATATCTGCCTTCTCAACCTAATTGCAATGAAAATCATGATGCGAAATAAGCAGAGGGTTAATTTCATCAGTCTTCTGCAGGTATAGGTTATGCCTTAATAAGGTATAGGTTATGCCTTAACTCACAGGGCAGCCTGCCTACCCAGAGTTATACAAGCCGCTAAGCAAGTGAAAGAGAGCTATTGATCACTAGCTCACAACAGAGCCTTTTGGAGTCTTACAAGCACCGCTGTCATATTGTATTTCTAAAAGCTGTAAGTTGACAGATAACTGGTTCATCTCTGCTGGAGTCTATTGATTATTGACTTCTGTAACCATGAAGCATCAAGTATTCAGTTAAAAAGTATATTTTGCCTGTGTATGCTGATATTTTTATAATATTTTTAAAAAATTATTCCAACTAGCAGAGCAACTGGATCTATTTTTAATATTGTTTTTATCAAGCAAAAGGATTTGTAGACTAAAATGCCCATAAATTGAGTTTTATAAAACTGCAATATGATTTCTCTTCCCTTATTTCTAAAGATCTAAATGTTATGTAAATATATATATACACATATATATATTCCAATATATTTATACAGGAATGTACATATATGTGCATGTGTGTATATATATAGGAATATATATACACATAAACATATATATGAAAGGAATTGAGCATCATAAATCTAACTCAGAACCAATTCTTCTACTAGAGAGGATGAACTGGTAAATATAGACTCACGTTGCAAACAATAAAATCACTGAAAAATACTGTTACCCAACTGTTACTCAACCATATGGACTTGTTCACTGCATCCATCTTCATAGGCTCTTATCATCCAGGGAGGTGACATCATGGTGTTATACAATGCACCGTGCACCCAAGACCTCGTGCTGCTATATGTGGTATTAATAGCACCGCACCATCAGTTAAACATTCTGTCCTACCAATTTTCACTTCTCTAGTGACATTATTCAGAGCAGTATTTCTTCAGATCCATACACTAAGTCATATGCAATATTTAAATGGATTCTATAGAGCACGTGTTTCCTGCTAAGGAACATTTTCAAATTTGCAACTCACCACTGCTTTTATGGTTTCTCATCTATAGGAAATGGATCTAATTCAACAGCTTCTTGCATGAGTTGCCATAATGAAGATCTGAGATGATCCTGCCATTGGTGTTTCTCATACTAGCCTAAAACCAAAGCAAAAACACAGACAGATTTGATTTTAACATTTAAATGGGAATTTCAACTGCATTGAGAAAAACAAATGACTACGAAGGAGAATTTGTGATGGGTGACACAAGGGAAAGGAATAAAACATCTTCAGGTAGTTCACTCAGTAAAGTTATCACAAGCACAAGAACTTTGGTTTTACCAACACCAGAGTAGCTGGATATTTTAAAATCTGAACGTAAGCCCAATTAGCATTGCTACTTTGGGTGACATGATATTTCGTTTTTGAGGGGTTTTTAAAGATTTTTTTTTTATTAATATTTTTTTCTTTTTTAGAGAGAGAGGAAGGGAGAGAGAGAAAAAAATATATGAATGTCATAGCAAAACATCAATTGGCCGCCTCCTACATGTCCCCAACCAGGGATCGAGCCAGCAGCCCTGGCATGTGCCCTTGACTGGGAATAGAACAGGCAGCCTTTCGGTGCCCGGGACAATGCCCAACCAACTGAGCCACGCCAGCCAGGGCTGATACTAGGTTTTGTGATAAGGATTTGCTTTTTTGATACAAGGCACCCTACTAAGCTTCAACTAGGAGAGCTCCACTGTTACATGTTTACATATTTTGCTCTTCATATAAGATTTCATTAGAACAATGGGTTATACAGTTACCGATAAAAGGACTGAGAGAAGTTTGAAAACCACTTAAGTATGTGAAATAAAATAAAATTAAAGTTGGTCTGAAGTAGGAAAGAGGCCTGTATGTAGTTTTTCCATAATCTGATCTAATTACAGAAGTAGGTTTGTAACTTCAATCTATTACTGTTACTTTTCAACATTATATTGGACCAGACTGTCCAGGACTATGCCGGTTTCCAATGTTCTACCCCATCACCAATCACAAGTTTTGCTTCCTAGTTTAGCAAGTATGGTCACCACACCCGAAACAAGCCTCTCTGCCCCAAATAAGAGTCCCTTTCTTGGCCAGTTTCTTACAACTGCTATTAGGAATTCCTCCCCCACCACCTTCTGCCCCCAGGCCATCCCCATGTGGCCCCAGTGTCACCTACCACCAAGTCAAAGGAAGTGAATTTCTTTCTCCTCTAAATTACTATTACAGTTATTGTGAAATCATTAATATATACCATTATATACCATCTTTTTTATTTAACCTCATTTCTCTAAACGACTATAAGCTCCCAAATGTCAGAAACTATGTTACAGTTTCCCAAACCCTGCCACCCATAGTCCTTAACAAAGAGCTCTGTACAGGGGAGACATTCATTCAAGGAATATGTATGTTGCCCCTACTATGTGCCAAACAGACACAACTAGTCCCTGACAGAGATTATAATTTAGTTGGTAATACAGGAAACACGGGAATAGGTAATGACTGTGTTGTGTGATAGGTGCTATGACAGAGGCAGCACAGACACTGAGTAAATATGACCAAACAAACTATGAGCTTTCCTTCACTACCAACGCTTTCAAAACCTATTTTCAATGTATGAGAAGGGGATCATTACATTAAGAAATTCATTTTCAGGAAGCACATGGAGCACCCAGGCTCGTTAACATCTGAAAACCAGAAGGCAGTTTTAATTCTATGAAGACAAGTCACTAAAATGAATTTCTAGTACTTTCCTGTCATTGCTGGGTTGTTGTTTTACTGCTTTCTACTACACATGCTTACATACACATACACATACACACACACACACACACAGTGTAGCAAAAATCCTGTTTATCACTATGCAAGTCACTCTGCAAATGTCTGGATGCCCCGTAGGGGACTTCACTTTACACCTGTACACCGTATCAGGTTTTAGAGCAACTGGGGGTTCGGATGCTCCTAAGGAGCCTTCCATCATTTCCTTTTCCACTTAAAACTCTAATTTCCATTCCCAGGAGGCTATGGGATTTGCCTCTCATAGCCACCAGGGATAAGAGCAGTAAGAAAGGCCACAGTAGCTTGTTAGGAATCCAAAACATCAATTCAACTAAACAATCTTTTACCAAAAATAAATATAAATTTGAGGTCCACTTTTCAAGCCAAAAATGTCTCTATTTAAAGGTTTTCAATATCACCTGAGGTTTCCATTTAGAGCTTCCACCAAGATTCACAATAGGAAATAAAGCTCCCCTCCATTAAATAAAGATGGGAGGAGGGGGGGAGTTAGCACCTAATGCATACAGCACACAGAGTTCTCAGTTCCCCCTCTTTGCCTTGATTTTTCTCATAAGGACACACTGGAGTCAAGCTGAAAAATCTTTATTTGAAACCTTACAACTTTTCTATGAAAACATGAACAGAGAGAAAAATTTCTGGAAATCCAAGCTCCAATTCTAAATTGTATCTTCTCTTTCAAGCAATCAATGTGCAGAATGATTTTTTATCTGAATCGGCACCAGTGTCTCATCTCAGATTTATGTAATGTAGTAAGTCTATCTAATACGTGAAAGAAACAAATGGATTCAGTTCTTCTTGACCAATAAGCATCGCCCCCAGTAGTCTTTAGGCCTAACTTTTTCACAAGTCCTAGTCCTTGGAAGGTGTAAGAAATTCACGGGTGGTAGGAAGGGAGCACTCCGACTGCAGCAAATACAGGATTGAACCACTTTGGTGCCATTACTGGACCTCTGTGCCTGTTTTTGCATAAGTGTTGCAATGTCCAACCAAAAGCTCAGAAGAGATTGTATAGGATATAGTAGGAGCAATGGAGAAAAAAATTTTACTGTCAATTTGTCTTCTGTTATTCTAATTGAAGGAAGTCTCTCCTGCTTCGAGTCCATTATTCTCACAAGCAACTAAGCAATCATCCTATTTGAACACACCAATTCCACGCAGTCTTCTAGCTGCAAATGTGACTTGAAGCCAGAACTAGGGCATGAAAGGCGAGCATCTGCCCCCATGTTTAACAAACAAGAAAACCCCCAATTTGTCTTTTATCATCAGTCTTAAAATGCTTTTACACTAAGTATCTCTCCAAAGAAATAGATTCATTTACATAAAGCCACAATAAAGCTTTAAAAAAATAACCCTTAATTATAGGAGGTTTTACCTTAAACACGGGAGGCTTTTCCACATGACTTAGGTAAGGCAGATTCCTTTTGCTTATGATTTTCCTATAGGATACACTAACAAAAAAATCCTACAAAATTTCCTGTCATTTAAAAATATGCTTGTATTTTATAGCATCCACAATCAATTCTCAGTTCATTCTAACCTTGAAAAATATTAAGCATGTGCTACGAAACTATTAAATCCTCAGAGCTGCAGACATAGCACACAATGACAGCAAAAACACACTCAGCCCCTCTGGGATCTGTTCATAAACATCCCCTTCCAGCCCGGCAGAGGCACTGCTCCAGCACCAAGGCCAGATGCTGTTCTGGGGCAGGCGAGCAAGCAGGAAGCTGGAGGCAGCTGATTTTTCCACTCCACAGATAATTTCCTACTGCCTCATCATCAAGAACCTTTCTACCGAAACTGCGAAGATTTTGTAACACCAGGAACCCATCAAACTAAAGATACTTTGCAACAACCGAAGGGAGTGACATGCAAATGAGGAGGCACGAATTGTCTCTAATATTTGAGGTCATATCACCTTTGTCATCTGATTTTCTAGTCCCACTGTGGGAGCGAGAAAATCTAATTTGCTCTGTGTGGTAAAATAAGCTAATCCAGTACTTTCTGTGAATCACAGGTGTGAGATGAAGGGAGCGAAGGGAATACATACCAGAGGCAGCAAAACCGCTATATCCGAACTGTCCGACCCCTAAAATCAGGGTTCCGAAGTGGAGTCAGGAGCTTGTGAGCTCATTCATGAGCATCTCTGTCTATATTTACAACATACGTGCTCGCCTAAGGCAGAAAATTAACAGAAGCCTCTCTAAGAGACGTGGTCATTCCTGCAACCATTTTTAGCACATTGATCATTTGGTGAGGTCTCCCAGGGTCTGACAGCCAGCAGGCCAGGGATAGAGGGAGAACTCGGACCCTGGACTGGCAATGCCTGGCGCACTTGTACCCATTTTCCTTCCCTCTGAACTGTGGCCTGTCCCACATGACTTAGCCTGCCTCTTTGGGGTTCGTTCATAAAAGTTATCATCCACAGCCCGCAGCAGGCAGGGCTGCCCTGCACACAGTCCGGCTCTGCAGCAAAGGCAGCCGTGTAAACAGCCTTGTGATTGCTTCAGAGCTCGCTGCCTTGGGATAAGCCACCCTCCTCGGTGGCTAAATTGCAGTATCCCAGGAACTTGTGTCTTTAAGGGGGTTAAAGCAGAGACTCGGTCTCTAAATTTAAATGTAGAGGGGGAAATAAATAAATAAATAAA